AAGGTAACTTTCCATGTTTTGCTGAACGCGTTCACTTCCGTTTTTTTTCCATGATTATTTTTCACTGGGTATGAGTTGATCGGTAGAAGATGAGACGCATATGTGTTCAGTTGTTGAACAATTTAATGTTGAATATGAATTACAGCCTACTTCATCTGCACCATTCAGACAAAACCAAAGACCATCACAACGAGTATAAATATTATTACATGGCCATTGTTCACATTCTGTTTCGTCTGTTTCATTTTTACCTTCGATGAGTATTGGATGCATATTAGTATATCCATTACAAGTATATTGAAATGAAATATTCATTCTAGTCGTATATATATGAAAATCGTCATATTCACACCATTCTGGATTATGAAGATGACAGTCACAAAATCCATCTTTAACAAGCATTAAATGGATAAATTTGTTAGAAATTTCACATGTAAAAAAGTGTTTTAAGAGTTTTGTTGAGTTGACGTTGTTCATTTGCTTCATATCTTCATCATCTTTTTGAGGACAATCAAACTTATCGTCCATAAGACGATTTATTGAGATACATTTTGTCGAATTAATACATTGGTACATATTTGGTCTATTACAAATTGTAGAATTATAAAGAAAATTTATATAGCGAGTATTCAGTTCATGGATGATTGGATATCATACTCGTAAATATTTGTCTTCAAAATGCCTCTTAACATTGATAAAATCTTTTGGGATGTCTGGATGAATGCATGTTCTATTTTTGAATAACACTCTGGTGTAATGTGTAGAATATTCTTCATAGTGAGAATTGTTATAACACATGTATGGTACTGGAAAACTGTTACTGAGAACAGATAAAAAGTCGTCTTTCTATATGCAAAGTAAATATCACCGAGAAAAAGACGAGTATTTGGAAAATAAAATAGATCTGTACATGTGTTTCGAATAATTTCAACACATAATGATGTTTGACACGCTTCAAGAAAATTTAGTTCGTTTGGTAAATGTATTTGAAAGATGGATTTTACAGCTGATAAATATTCTTCAAATGTTGAATTGTCTTCAGCTGAATATAGTGCTGCCAATAGTTCTTTTATGCGAGATCCACTTGGATAGCTGGATAAATAGTTATACCGTTTTCGTTCTGTTTGACTATAATCTGCTAATGGATCATATTTGCAAGGTTCACTCGGAAAACTGTAATATTCGTCAGAACCATCAAGACAATCCGGAGGATAGATGTTATCTCGAAAAAATGAAACTGATATACATTGTCCATTGGTACATTGATATTCATTATCATTACATTCATTTATTTCAAGTTGCCAACAATTTTCTTCATCAATTTTGTTATCGATACAATCTACTTACCCATCACAAACTTCTCTCCAATCTAAACATATTGGCTTAGGATCACGATTGCATGATAAATGTATATAGCATGTCCAAAGCTGTTGACCAATTTTATTATATTCAATTAAGTCTTAAATCAATTGTTCAATATATAAAAAATGTCTAGGGTTCAAATAAAGTTCATATTGACACATTGATCCAAATCTTGTAAATGTACAATTACAGTAAGTTTGTTTCCAAAGATATATCATTTGATTTTGATAATTGATTCAAGTAAAATTGATAACTTTCAGCTAGATCGATTAGTGCTGACCAAAAGTATAATTGTTGACTAGTAATATATTGTTTAGCTAATTCGCCAAAGGTAAACTTTCAAAAGATATTGTTATCCTTAGTATGAAGTTTCGATGATAATTCATCCATACAATAAGTTTTAAATTCACGTTTCATACCAACTTCATTAGTCAAAGTAACACGTAAACAATGATATCGTAATCCATTACTAATTTCATTTTCATTTTCTACATCTGTATAGTGAAAATTGATTTGAGGTTTAGAAAAAATTAAATTGCACAAAATAAAATTCAATAAAAATTTCATACCAAGCATTTTTTTTTTGTATAATAAATGTCGTGAAAAGTACATATAGGAATGACTATTTATTCAATGCATATAAAGGATAACCTTTTTCTTTCTTAAATATATACATCATTGGATGCAATCACGAAAACATTGACAGTTACAAATGGATTTCTAACGTGTAGTACTAAAGAAAATCGAATTATTCATGAAAAACAATACATCATGTTCAGCATTCTTTACATAGTCTTTATCAACATTAGATTTAAGTAAATTCTTCAGCTTTAAAATTCTAATATTTAATAGTTGATTTGTTAAAATGAAACATCCATGAGAATGAACATTATCGTTTTTGATTTTATACATATAGAAATGAACAGATAAGAATTCAAAATAAACTTGTAAATCATTGTTGTCTTTTTATTTTTAAAGGACAGAATTGATAGATGTATATAATATGCCTACCATAAAACAATGTTTGTTTCATGATATATTGCAAGTCAGAGGAAAAAGTCACATTCGTTGTACAATATTAATTCTTTAGTCTATTGGCTGATTCATAACTGTTTGTGTATTCAAGTTAAGAGATAAATGCTAGTTTTATTACATTGTTTTTCTTTTGAAATGACCAAGTTATATTTAGTTGTAGTTTTTCTAATGTAAATTTATAAACATGCGCAATTTGAGAAGATAATCCATCGATAAAAATTTGAAAATTTACATTTTTCTCATTGTTAATTTTAGAAAGAATTTATTTGTCAATTAAAAATCGAAATATTTCAAGATCTATTGAGTAGCCTTATCCAAAATCATATATTACTGTAAAATAGACTGGTTCTACAAATAGAAAATGCCATGGGTTTTATTAATAATTATTTTATAACGAATTATCAATATGTTCTTTTATCATACTACCAGTTATTAGTTTAGAAAGACTTAGTTTCTGTTTTTCTTTTTGCTCATTATTTATTTATTTTTCTCGTTACATTATGTCAATAAAACTGGTATAGTTGCCACTTTTTCGTCGTATACGATGATGATCATAGTATGACTGAATACAAAACAATGTTTCAACATTTAATTCTATGCATATTACAGAATCAATCATTATATCAAAATCTCCAAGAAAATCAAGTAGACAATAAAGAACAAGCAACTAGTCAAAGCTCAAAAATTACAGTGGTTGTATTTTTACAATTTTCGACACAAAATAAAAATTGCTCGTATTGTCAATATTCTTTGATATATAAATCGATCGAATAGATTTACACAGTTAATAAAATGATACAAATTAAGTTTATCGAATCATTTGAAAACTCGATTGAAATGTAGTTTCGAGATAAAGAAGATTGTCACACACACACAAAAACATTTATCACCACACATAGTCATTACATTGTTGCATCAACACAACATAAGATCGAAATATATTTAAATCAATCAAAAATTTTACCAGAAAAACTGATATAGAAAAAATAACTGTTTGCAAAGTCTCTTCGAGATTAATATGCAAAGCACGATGTAGTTGCTGCTACTAATCATAACGACACTGTTTTATTCTATATATGTTAGAAGATATTTCTTCATCATCGTTTTCCTTCATCCTCTAGAAATGCAATCAGAAACAAGTTCTGACATTATAACAAGACATTATTCATATATAAAGGAGAGACTAGAGGTGAACGCTAAATTTCTTTCTTATATACGGTAATAAAACCCATACTCACATCCATGGTCAGAATTGACAAAAATTCCTTCACATAACAAATATTGTATGATGTTCCAATAATCAGAAGAGAAGGATCGATTTAACTAATTCAATTAATAAATATGTACATTCATGAAAAAAGTAATTGCAATCCATATTTGAATTAATTTTTTAGCATCAATAACGAACTGAAACAACTTAGTTTATATGAGTTTATGAAAAGTATCATTTAATTATAATTTATTTTATTTTTGTATATGGATCTGGTATTTTTATTTTGTAGTTAAAATACGATGATGACGATATAACTTAATTATAGTATAACTATACCTAGTCTATCAATGAGCTAATCTGCATATTAGAAGATCAATCATAATACAAGATCCCACTAAACATATTTTCATTAAAACGTAATAGAAAACCCAGAGCCTTTTAATATGATAGAGGCATATAATATTTGTCAATAAATATCAAATGAATCTTCAAAAACATACGCAATTCTGAGTCATATAGTCCATGTGCTTTCATCATATGATAGCATGCAATGAATCGCATCTGCATACTTACATAATAGTCTGTGGACATATATACATGAGACATCCAATCAATGTAGAAATCGATATCCACTAATGCACTTAGTCCAAACTGAAGGGTCAGAAAAAACAAATTTGATAAAAACGTATAGAAACAACAGGTATATTTACCTGCATATTTTGTTTTCAGGAAAAGTGAGTTTCACCTAGATGATGGCGCTACACTACATGCGGAATTCAATTATAGTATTATCAATTTTGTGTGAGAATGAATCGACGCGAAAGATGTCAGTAAATCAGTGCTTTTATTTTGGTTTAGTTCCATGATTATACTGGGTCAGAACAGTTTGACTTCATAAATAATCTTTATTAGTGATGTACTTCATATGCTATTAATAAGAGCTTCCAAAAATGAGTTTCATCCTAGGTGTCGCCACACATAGTGCATTCGACATTGATTGGTGTTTCCCCATTACTTTTTGCCGTCAGACGGTCGTCAGAAGTGAACCAAACTCGACGTGAACCAAACTCGAATC